TTATTATTATTATTATTATTATTATTTTCATCATCACTATCATCATCATTATTATCCTTATCATCATCATCGTTGTCATCATCATCATCATAATCATATTATTATCATCATCATCACCACCACCATCACCACCACCATCACCACCACAACCACAACCATCATTTATTTGTACAGACAGCATTCGTATAGCGCTTATGCCTACAAAGTTTTATACGTTTTGGAATCAGTATTATAATCTTATCAGCTCGTGCTTTTAAGTCATTTTGTATATTCATCTATTGACTATTGGTGTATGAAAAAGTGTTTGTTTGTGTGTGTGCGTGTGTGTATATGTGTTTGTGCGTGGGTGTGTGTGCGCATGTTTGTATGAGTGTGTGTGGGTGTATGTGTGTGTGTGTGTGTGTGTGTGTGTGTGTGTGTGTGTGTGTGTGTGTGTGTGTGTCTTTATCTGTTTTGATAAGTTCGTTAGCACGTATGTATTTTCTATGCCTCTGCAAATTTCTCTTTGTGGAGATCAATAAGAAATGTATCTTATCTTAGTATTAGTATTTTGTTATAAACACCGATAGATTAGTATTTCTATTATTGTCATTATCATTCTTATACTTTCGGAAAATAACTTGAAAAATGTTTTATTGTTAGGGGAGGGGGGAGCGGGGGAGGTGCAATGGTGGTCCCTTTGCTAGGCGGGAAAAACATTTAATGTGTGGTTTATTTCATAATCCTCAAAATCGACAGCTTGGCTCTCTCTATTTCTTGTCGGGAAAGAGAGGAATAGTAAGCCTGTTTATCAAGGAGGTCAGGGTTTCCGGGGGTGGAAAGGGGGTGGGGAAATAGGAGAAATGAAAACTCCACTTTCAGGTCAGACAATGTACAAAAACATAATATTATTATTCCTCAAATTTCACGGCGCTCCACGGGTAGGGGTCAGGGGACGCCGGCGCTGAGAATTTATTTTGAACCCCGACACTTGGCCTGGTGTCTTTTATCTCGGTGAGAAAGTGGGGCGTGTGGGGGGGGGGGGGGGGGGGAGAGAACG